AAACCAACGGAATGAAGTTGGGCCCAAGAAGCTGGCAAAGGCAAGGACACAGATCTGTCCTAGAGTCTCCAGAATAGGTGTGATTTTAGCTCTTAAACCCATTTCAGACTTCTAACCTCCAGAACTGTAAAACAATGCATGTGTGTTGTTTTTAAGCCATTTAAGGTTGAGGTAATTTGTTGACAGTGGTAACAGGAAACTAATACAAACCCCAGCCTCAGTCCTCAAATGACAGCAGCATGAACGATGGGTGACTGCAGAAGGCAGCCCAGAATGTGAGTCCCACTTTTCTTCTTTTAAGTGTCACTGTCATCAAAACAGAGACACTGACTTAAATGGCCCGGTCGTGGTCTATCAGGAGGACGAGGCCTTCGTGAAAGCTCTAAATCAGTGATTCTCAACCTTGGCTGCACATTAGAATCACCTGGGAATCTTTTTAAAATCCTGATTTCTGGATCTATTTTTGTTACATTAGTAACAAAGAAACAGAATTTCCAGAGGATGAGGCCCAGAAATCAGGATTTTAAAAAGATTCCCAGGTGATTCTAATGTGCAGCCAAGGTTGAGAACCCCTGATCTAGATCCATCTGGCTCTGGCATGCAAAGGCTGTGCCCATCTCTGCACACCAATGGCCCCAGTATATTCCATGACGGACACTGAGCATGGATGCCTCCAAACAGTCCCAACTCCTATTCCTCATTTCTTTTAGGCCAAACACTGTGCACCAACAGCCCTTAATTCCTCCTGATCCGGATTTCAGATGTTTAGATCCACCTGATAAGCTTGCAATCATCTCTCAGGATATAGATGGAAGGTTCTCTCCTGTGGCAAATTAAAGTTTGGGTCCCAGTTCTTCACTTTCTGTAGTAGGATCCACAGCTCCCTCATGGAAAGGTGGAGTATACCCCCCTGTCCATTGGCACTGGGCTTGGCGTGCTACTTGCTTTAGTCAATGGCATTTAGTGACTGCAGCAAGAACAAAGACTTGAACAATTTTTGCACAATTGGGCTCTCTAGCTCTCGCCTGACCTCTATCTATGACAGGGGTGGGGAACATATTTTTATGCCAGGGGCCATTTGGGTATTTATAACACCATTCTTTTTTTTTTATTTTTTATTTATTTTTTATTTTTGCTAAAAGTATTACAAAGGGTATTACATAAGTGCCCTTTTTATCCCCCCTACCCTTGACAAACCCCTGCCCTCCCTTAACCCCCAGTGTCTTATGTCCATTAGTTATGCTTATATAGATGCATACAAGTCCTTCGGTTGATCTCTTACTCCCCTCCCTCCTGTCCCCCAACCCTCCCTGGTCTTCCCACTGCAGTTTGACAATCAGTTTGAGGCAGCTCTGCCTCTGTATCTATTATTGTTCAAAAGTTTGTAATGGTCTTTATTATCCATGAATGAGTGAGATCATGTGGTGTTTTTCCTTCATTGACTGGCTTATTTCACTTAGCATAATGCTCTCCAGTTCCATCCATGCTGTTGCAAATGGTATGAGTTCCTTCTTTTTTACCGCAGCATAGTATTCCATCGTGTAGATGTACCACCGTTTTCTAATCCATTCATCTACTGATGGGCACTTAGGCTGTTTCCAGATCTTAGCTATGGTGAATTGTGCTGCTATGAACATAGGGGTGCATATATCCTTTCTAATTGGTGTTTCTGGCTCCTTGGGATATATTCCTAGAAGTGGGATCACAGGGTCAAATGGGAGTTCCATTTCCAATTTTTTGAGGAAACTCCATACTGTCTTCCATAGTGGCTGCACCAGTCTGCATTCCCACCAGCAGTGCAGGAGGGTTCCCTTTTCTCCACATCCTCTCCAGCACTTGTCGTTTGTTGATTTGTTGATGATGGCCATTCTGACAGGTGTGAGATGGTACCTCATTGTTGTTTTGATTTGCATCTCTCAGATGATTAGTGACTTTGAGCATGTTTTCATATGTCTCTTGGCTTTCTGAATGTCCTCTTTTGAGAGGTGTCTATTTAGCTCCTTTGCCCATTTTTTGATTGGATTGTTTATCTTCTTTTTGTTAAGTTGTATGAGTTCCCTATAAATTTTGGAGATTAGGCCCTTATCAGATATGACGTTGGCAAATATGTTTTCCCATGAAGTGGGTTTTCTTGTTGTTTTGTTGATGGTTTCTTTTGCTGTGCAGAAGCTTTTTATTTTGATGTAGTCCCATTTGTTCATTTTCTCTTTAGTTTCAACTGCCCTAGGAGCTGTATCAGTGAAGAACTTGCTTTGGCATATGTCTGAGATTTTGTTGCCTTTGTATTCTTCTAGAATTTTTATGGTTTCCTGTCGTACATTTAAGTCCTTTATCCATTTTGAGTTTATTCTTGTGTATGGTGTAAGTTGGTGGTCTAGTTTCATTTTCTTGCATGTATCTGTCCAATTTTCCCAGCACCATTTATTGAAGAGACTATCTTGACTCCATTGTATGTTCATGCCTCCTTTGTCATATAACATCATTCTTGAGCTCACAAAATTAGCCTGCTATGTTTGGTCAAACATTTAATTTAGCGGTCACCAAACTGGTGGTCTGTGAGGTCCAAAACTTTGGTGACTGCTGATTTTTTTACTCACCCCTAATGCCTTGGCAGGGCCAGAACAAATGATTTGGCCCTCAGGCCAGACGTTCCCCAACCTTGATCTATGGGAACATAATCTGATCTAAGAAGTATGAGAACCCTGAGAAGCAACTTAGAGCCTGGAGCTCAAAGCTTGGAGTTGAGCACAGACAGGGAAATGGCCGTCATCTTGCAGACTGTGAGCTTGCAGATTACTGTTTTAAGCCAGCATGTCTTTGAGCAGTTTATGGCAGAGCATCATTGTGGCAATAGCTGACTGATACACCTCCCCCAGCAGAGCTGACCACATCCTCCTTTGATATCTATCTCCCTAATTGGACTTAAAGTCCTTGAGGGCAGACACCAGGTGTTTGTTAATGTTATATCTATGACCTCTAGCATGATGCTCAGAATATAGGAGGCTCCTAATACTTTTTTTTTGTTTTTACTGAAAAGAAATAATTAAATAAACAAATGAATGAATACAAGGAACACACTATTCCAGGTCCGTGACCTTCAAGTAGGAGCAGTGAGGACAGGAGGAAATCACAATTAATGGGCTGCTGCAAACATCATTAAATACATGAGGGCCAAGCTTTGTTGGTTGGCTGCATACATCATATTTTTTCAGGTATCCCTAAAAGTTATTGTGGATAATGGAATAAAAAGTGTATTTCAAAGTAAGAAATGCGCAGTTGCTTGTTATTATGTGATGCCAGGACCAGGGGCAATGACTAATGACCCCTTGCTTTGATGCTGACCAATCATTAGAGAACATGACCCTGAAAGTACACACCTGGGAAAACTCATGAATATTCTATTGAGATCCTGATGTAAGATCTCCCCTAACTCCCAGCCTTTAAGTCCCCCAAGACTGCCCCTGCTGGTTTGGCTCAGTGAATAGAGCGTTGGCCCCAGGACTGAAGGATCACAGGTTTGATTCCAGTGAAGGGCACGTACCTCGGTTCCCTCGCAGAAAAAGTATGGCACACAATAGGTTTCAGTTAGTGTTTGCTGAATGGAAGAGTGAATGGCTTCACTCATTTATTGAATGACTGTGGACCTGATGCTGTGATGACAATATGAAGGCAAATGAAATGCAGCCTTTGCTCCCTACAGAGAGAGAGTCCCATGCCAGCCTCCCTCCCTCCTCCATGCCTCCTCCCTGGCAATGCTCCCAGAGGTGCTCATTTGCCTCACACACTCATTATCTCACAAGCACACACCTATTGTCTTTATCCCCCTTCCTTCTCTATCTGTCTCTCTCTCTCTCTTTCTTCCTCCTCCTCCTTCTTCTTCATCTTCTTCTTCTTCTTTAACCTTAAATACACTTTTAATAGTTCAGACATGATTTCTTTAAATGTTTTACATCATCTCATTTAACTTTGGAACTTGCAGACATTAATAATGAGTCACCAAAACACTATCAATGTATAGTTTGACTTACACACTGGACTTTGCCCAAGAACTCTGAGTGGGCCCAGAAGGAAAAAGAAAAATGTTTACAAGTGAGCCATGGCAGAAATACGCAGACAACAGGTAGGCCTAATGCAACTAGGGCGAACGTTCAAGTTCATGTCCTTTCAAGGAATTGTTTCTACTCTTGAAGCTCCACCAGAGAAAGGGCCCTAAGGGTTGAACACTCCTGGGGGTGGTATAATTGGGCTTGGCCCTAGGACATAGAAGGTAAACATTTTACATTATTTCACAGTAACAAACATAGACAGCCACAGGTAACATAGGATCTGATTAACCTCGGAGTTTAAGGCTGACCCACGTTGGAAAACCATCATTTCCCTCATGGAGATCACACACTTAACACAGTGTCACCTGTTGGGGTCGCTAGAAAAGACTTATTTAAACATCAGTTCATAGGATGGTTTCACATTTGTCAGTTTCTTTCCACTTTGTGCTAGAAGGGAGGCACTTAAGAGCTATGAACTGTAATTTCAGGAGTACAAGCCACTGGATTTCGGCAGTCTTCAATAAATATGGCAAGGAATTAAGGTGAAATTGGATTCAAAAGAAAGTAAACACACCATTAAACCACAACATTTTGCTAAATCTTGTAAAAATCACTGGCCTCTGATTTGAAGAACTTCCTCACCAATAAATAAATAATAAACAAATAAAATTCAGCAGTTAGCAGCCACCTGTGCCCACACAGGGGAATCCTACAGCCTCCCGATGTCCGGGCTTGTGAGGGTTTTCCAATATGGGCGAGTTAGTACTTTGAGCAATATTTCCAAGTCTGGTATCATGCACGGGTCCCAAACAGCCAGAAAAACGAAAAGATAGAATGAAATATGTTGCAAGAGTTTAGTAAAAACGCATGAAAATTAAAATGCTAAGAAGACCACTCGGTTTTAAACGTGTGAAAATAAGTCGCATTCACGGATGGGAATCCAGAGACTTTGTTCTAGTCCATTGGTAGGTACCGCACTCGCCACAACGCGGTGGACAGCAGGTCCCGGTGCACAAAGGAATATCCAACAGGTAAACACATCAGGGTAACGGGGCCCATGACATTGAGCGGGTGGCGGGCATAGTCCCAGGAACAGGCGCGCAGGCCCAGGCCCCAGGGCAGCTCCCACAGGCAGATGAGCGTCACACAGACGGGCCCCCGCTGCCAGGAGCTCCCGCCGCGACTGTAGTGAAGGTGGAAACAGAGCTTTTCCACCAGGAAAGCTGCACGCTGCCGCACATGAAGAAAGACCAGAGCGACGTGTGGCCACTGGAGGCCCGGTCCCCCTGTCCCAGCTCCTCAAAGAAGAAGGTGAAGAAGATCTCATCCCAAAGGCGTGCATCCCGTAAAACGGTAAAGGAGAAAGCGGAGAGGGTCCGGCAACCCCTTGCTGGGGGCTCCTTTCGGTGCCCAGG